CCCATAACAGAGGCCACAACATCTTGATCTTCATATATCATCTACAGTTCATGGTCACTGATACAAGCTTGACTTTGCTATTGCATTTGGCTCTTTATCCTTTCAAAGCATCCAGCCCAGCCTGAATGAGATAGCCTGTTGGGAGGAAAGGCTGCGTGAAATGCAGTGGAATCCTGCAGTCTAATCACCTGATTGCGGGAAATCTCAATTATTATTCCTTGAAGTAGACATAGTACAAACAGAATTGTGTGAGAGTGTAAAAGTAATGTTTTTACCTGGAAACATATCTTATTCCAGCCCATGGACCCAGGTACAATCGCAAATTTAAGGCATACTACTTAAGAAGAACTTTTGTACAGGCGATTGCCTAAACAATGGGAAATGATGTGTTCTATACTGTATTGCTTTGCCTATAATAGACCGTTGGATTTTAATACTTTTTAATTATTCTTGCCAGGATATTTCATTAAGAAACAGATAAAAATTGTATCATTTTGAAGTTTTTATCAAGCATTTTAAATGTTATTGAACCAATCACACGACTTTATCTGTTATTTTCGCCTCACATAGTACGATTTTTAATAGTTTTCCGTTTTTACTGAGCTAATCGCTCATACTAATAGCGACTTGCCTGTATCTTGCTGTACTGGGGGTGGGAATAGGGAATGGGATCTCTTGGTTCTCGGAGGGCAGTGTGTCGTGACTTTCCACGAGCGATCCGTTGAAACAAAGCGCTGTTATAGAATCTTGGACGGCGTACCAACTGTCATCTTTGTCTCGTAGCTAATGGGCTCATCGCAGAATCGACTCAGCCCGCAGTTCTTCGTGCTGCTGATTGGCGTCCGGCGGTTGACTCGACTGGGCTTGTGAGAGCGGAGTCTGACAGGTACCACGATAGACACTGGTACGGTTAGCAAGATTGCCATTTTAGTTGTCGTTCCGAGTGCATGAGAGGTATTCACGAGTGGTCTGTCTGCGAAAGGAGCGACTGACAGGAAATGGGTTCCACGTCGTGCAAAGACACCTCTCGTCACTATTGCAAAAGTTTGTCTAGTTCACTAAGATACCTTCGCAATTTCGTTGTCATACTGCCGTGTTCTCGCATCAGAATTAGTTCGCCAGGGTCTAGAGGGGTGCCTCCGAAACGAGGATGAGCTTCTCGGTTGCATTCGTCTGTCTGGCAGCCAGAGAGCCATAAATTAGAATCTACCGTGACAGTGAATAGATAGTCATTTCCATGATATCCTGGGTGAGGTAGTCTTTCAGGCTTGAAGTAGATGCAATTAGCGAGGAGAATATACCTATGCTCCTTGAAGTAGTTTTGGTATCGTATTTGGGAGCCTTTTTTCAATATCATTGTATGTGTAAATCCTTGGTCGTCTAATGCGTCGACAGCCTGTATTTTATAAAGTAGAGGAAATACTTGATCTTAATTTTATCTATTCTTCATCCTAAAATGGCTCTTGTCATTTTGACTGGATCGAGTTGCTCGCCGCACTCAAGCTGTCTATTATTCTTGCTCGGGCTAATGCTCAGCAACTTGCAGAAATCCGTATGCATTAGATGCTGGCAACAACAACGACGATCAGAATGTCAATCCCCTCATGCTCGCCATTGTTGATGTCTTTTTCTATTTACCATAGCATGCTCACTTTTGAAACGTGCTCCCTCGGTGGTCGCTATGAGCCGGTTGCCTTGCTTTTTATTGCTTGTCCTCTCTTTTTCCTTTTAAAAAGCTCCCGATTTATACAAAACGACTTCATCATTTTTACGCTAGTTACTAATCTTCTAAAGACCTATTTGGTAGATTCATAATTTGACCTTGAGTTTATATTTTTTCATCATTGGCTACAGTCTTTAACAATCTTTATGATCTTTGTGGAGTATCGTAATCTCAGTTTTAGGCTACTTCTTACGTTCTGATCCCAGTCGGCCTCATTCTCATTGAGAACTTCGCACTGACTAACAACTCGTTAAATTGGCAAGTAAGAGACAGTCGTCAAGACATTTTTCTATTCAACTGTTACGGATTCTCTCCACTTCCCCTGCCAGAACTTCTATTGCTGTATGCCATTTCTTCAGTCCCACTCCATACCGCCAATTTGTCTCTCTCATTTTCGTTTATTCCAATATCTCCAAAGAATTTGTCTCTCTAATTTAATTTAATTAAGTCCAATCACCCTCAATCACGGCTTCGAGTCCACAAATTGTAACAAATGAAGGTACAGAC